GTAAGCACGACAAGCTCTTTACACTTCGAAGAAATAGAAACAATCTTGGCTATGCAGCAATAAAAGCAACAGCAAAGTATGAAAAGAGAACGGAGTTTGGACTAAATGGAGAATGGAGTGAGAATTATTAAACTTTTACACTGTTTGGAGAACGGGACTGAAAAGAGAACGACACTGAAAGATATTTTTTCACTGTATGTGTACAGTTCTAAGTAGAATTTTTCCTGCGCACGCTTCTTCATATTTATACACCGATATGTAAACGGTAAAAGAATATGAAATATCAAGAAGCGTGCCTATGAAAAATTTTATATATATAAATAAGTTTATAATACTGCTATACATTTTAATAAAATTCTATTTCTATTTCTTCGAAGTGTAAAGAGCTTCTCGTGCTTACACATTGTCGATGGAAATAAAAGAATAAAATAAAAGAAAGAGTTATTTGAACGAGTATTGGAAAATAAGAAAATAAAGTTTTAAATATAAAGTATAATACTGCCATTAAAAATATTTTAATAAAATTCTTCTGGATTTATTTTATTTATAAAACAAAAAGGTTTTTTCCCCATTGTAGCAGAATAAATGTTGACATGCCCTATAGTATATTATGAATCAACCAATTCATTCACGAAAACTAATTTAAAGGGCTTTTCGTGTTGAGACATTATCGAAGGAAATAGAAGAATACAATAAAACAAAACGGATTTTCTCATTAAAGTGGAATAAACGTTGCCGTGCCTTATAGTATATGATAAATCAATCAATTCATTAATTATTTAGAAAGTATTGCGGCTTGGACTTCTTATTATCCATCATCGGAAAAATAAATTGGTAAGAATTTGAACTGTTAGTATTACCCGTTTAACAACGGTTGTGACTAATTTTTCAGTGGCTTTTGATTGAGGTTCCCTAGGAAAGTGTTAGAAAACTATGTTAAAAACGAAGACATTTTGAAATACGAATGTTCAGGTGATTTTTTATGGGTGGTTAGCTCAAAGTGTCGTTGTCAGACGACGGAAGTTAGGCGAGATCTTTATTTTGGTTTAAGCTATTTTATTTGAAAAAATATAAAGTATAGCGCTCGAGTATCGCTAATTCGGCATTGCTATTATATCGTAGATACGGGGCCTGCGATATACACAGAAGACAGCATCGTAAATTAAGTGAATAACTCATGTAATGTATCAAATAATTTTATACGAGCAGTAGTGTAGTCTGGACAAAATAGAAAGAAGTGTTCTACTATTTCTCAATCAGAGCATGAACAGAACTGCGAGTTTGGTGTTTTATCGATTGTTCTACGGTATAAATCATGTTTGAGAAAGACCCGCTTGCGTCTGATGAAAAACGATATCTGCTTTTCTATTTCCATCTGTAACTATTGGTTTTCTTCTTAGAATCTTTATTTTAATTGGTTTAGGTGTGACATCGGGCTAAGTCGAAGTTCTAAAAGTCTAAAATTCGAAAAAAGTCTCATTAACCTGCATAAAGATATTTTTCTAACCACAACGGTAGATAGAACATCGAAAATCCGGCTATATTCACCTCTAGCGACACGTGTTAGCTTCAATTTAAGACCTTTTAGAGCTCTCCAAGACCTTTCGTTACCGCATAATGTTGCAGCTACGAAATAGTGTTAAGGTGGAAGTCACTTTCAGGATATGAGAACGCCAGTGTCTGGTGGATGTTCTATATCTTCCAGCAAAACTGTCATAACTCTTGATTAGAACATCATTCAGAGCTGGGGCATTCATTTTGATCAGAAATGCTTGTTGAATTTGCTGATGTTATGGAAAGTATTTGATGATTTGTTTCTTTATCAGACAAAGTGCAAAGTGCTCTCAAACGGTTTTGAATGGAACATGAAAGTAAAATTGTTTCGAAAAGTCCGTTTTTTAAGGTTTTCATAAAACATTTCGAAAAACCTCCATACTCCTTCGATGAGGTCCAAATGAGTATGGAATCATGTTTAAAATATAAAGTGTATACTTTACTTAAAAAATGCTCAAATGTTGAACTTTTATCGAACTTTTTGAGACAGTCTTAACAAATTTCGATATCGCCGGTAATAGGAAAAAACTTTTTGAGACAATTCCTTCCACATACCACGGAAAACATGATTTTCACTGAAAAACTAGAAAAAATCTCCAAAGCTATTGCGATTTAGAGAGGAGTAAGATGCACTCAAAAATATATTTTGTATAGCAGTCGATAGAATTTGACAAGGTCCATCTGATGAGACTAGTTTTGATTGTACTGGATGCTGTATTTTTATTATTTCAAGCGGCAAGGCTGTGTGAGGGTATTCCTTTCAGAATCGTTTTGCATCCAATGGTTAATAGCCAAAGAAGAATGTAACTGTTGCACACACTTTATTTCAGTAAATTAACAACTATATATAGTATATTTCAGCTACTGGAAGATCTCTTAGGGAAACTGAGAAAAACACATATTGTACAAAAGAGAGAGAAGAATAGAAATGAAAAATACCCATCGAAGAGTGATCAGAAAGAGAAAACATATATCATATAAAAGCAGAAGAGTGACTACATATAACAGAAGAACAGAAAGGGAAAATAACCATTGAGTGAAGAGACAATGTATATTGAAAGATAACTGCTGATATGAAATTTAGTTTGCACTTCCTAACAGCTGATTATTATCCTTGGGACCGTACTTCGTACAATAAAAATTTGAATTTTATGTGGGAGACTTTTTCAATGCATGAAAGGTTGGTTTGACAAAGATAAGTCGAACGATGGATAATAAGTTTGATTTGAGGTGTTTCTTCAATATAATATTAGCTTCTTTAAAATCGCACGACATTTTCTTCGTCAAGTTCAGTTTTCTCCACAACTGCCATTTTGTGCAAAAAACACCTTTTTTTTAACAAAGTTTTCATTTCGAACAGTCAGTTTGTGTCACGCGTCCTATACGATCCGGCAATATCGCTCATTCTAGCAACGTATCGCCTGAATCGACAGTATAGTTCGAGCGAGCGAGCGAGGTGTACCGTGCCCTTTCGATCAGATAACCGCATTTTTTTCTCGGAATGTATCAGCGCCCGAAGGACTTATTCCACGTGAAAGGTATGAGAGGTGATCAAGTTGCTCATTCGGCAGAGCGGAGGTCGTTTAAATTTCCTTTTTTACTTCAAGTTTTTCTTGACAATGGTCTAGAATCAGCCTATTTTAAATAAGGTTCAAGTCAAACATTCACTATATAACAGCTTCTGATTGGTATTAGGACTGAATAATATATCCCTCTTGATATATCTCTAATTTTTCGGATCCGTTCTCTGCATAGTCCAAAACACAAACAATTCATCTCTATTCGCTAGAAAGTTTCAATCTCATATAATACTTTTCCGGCATTATCTTACATTCCTTCCCCTAGGCTACCAAAAATGAAGAAGCATTCTTCTCTGTTAAAGCTAAATGATGCGATTGATGCAAGATATATAAAATGGTGTTGTTAGCAACGATTGTTTTTTTTTGTATGATATCTTAGAAGAAAACGATAGAATGTCTGCAAAAAAATCTGCTATTAGCATGTCCATACTATAGAACAGTCTCACAATCTCGCAATTTCACTCGGTTTCGAAAAATAAACATTCAATTCAGTCACCAATTATCCTAGTTGCAACTAGGGGTGGCACTTTCGCTTTTCTACCTCTTTTTTCATTAACAAAAGAAAAGTTTTTCTTTTCCTTTATAACAAAAAAGAGTAAAGATATAATGCATATCTTTTCTTTCCTTAGAAAAAGGAAAGTTTTTGTAAGGCTTTTTCTTTTTGTAAGGCGCCGCTGATTCAAAAATCAAATGGAAAAGCTTTTGAAATTTCAAACATATATTCTGATTCGTCGGACGCTGCTGATCACGAATCTGATCTTATTTTTTCCATTTGACTGAGTTTTCATGCAGAAAATCTCAAAATACTATGAGGGCGTCAAAAATCTCGAAAAGTCAATTGTTCAGAAAAATCCCGATTATCTCCTGATGCTTTCATTTTTTGATCCTTAAACTCTTGTAGCTGATCAAACACTGATCACCCGAACCTTGAGGTTCTCATCGCGCTATGCTATCTAGTTTTCTGCCATGAGAGCAATAGACTTCTTTCATACGCCAGAAGATTCCCCTTGCCTTGCTCCACAAAAGTATGCTCCGGTTTTTTCAAAACGTTTTTCCTTTTAGGAGAAATTAGGAAAAGACTGAAAAAGTGCGAGTTTTTCGGAAAATCCTTTAGATGATGAACCACATAGCTCAGTGATATTTCCACCTAGAGAACTACTTACGGTTTTCCAGGTAAAAAGAAATGCGTTTGAGAGGTTTGAAGTGTTCCAAGTAGGTTTCGCAAAAAACCAGAACTCTGAGAAACCATCAAGAGTTTTTCAGAAATCTTTTTCGTCCCAAGCCCATCATATCGACAGAGCGTCAAATTTTGAGCAAAATGAGACGTCCTCGAGCCTTTTAGCACATCTCTAGGCTGCGATAAGGCCATTTTACTTTTAGAGATCCGGCTGATCCGAAATCATTTAAGAGATTTGCCAATAACGCAGCCTAGAAAGACGCTGGAAAGCCCGGGAAGACCTCATTTTACTCAGAACTCGATCTGCCTTCAGATACGATACCTCACGAGGATAATGGGCTTTCGAAGGGTTCTGAGAGATATCCAGAGTCGGTTTTTTAGTAAACCTCGTTATTACTCCGCTACCAGATTTAAATCTTTAAACATTTCAAAGGTGCAATTTTCAACTGTTTATATTCTTTTTCAATCAATTTGTTGTGCAGTTAAATTAGTTTCAAAAAATGGATAATTTGCTGGAAGGCAGTTTGTTGAGAGTTATGTAAAACTTTGCAGATGTGCAAGCGGTCTCTCTGAGTAGATGTGAGCGATTCCATTGATCTAACTAATATCTACAGAGTTGTTAGTTAAAAAACTACTCGATAGTACTTTTTATTCATTGTTGCTTTTATTTATTCATTATAGATCAAAAAATGGCATCAAAAACTGTTGTAAAAGCAACAGAAAAATTATGGACAATCGTTGAAAAAAAAGCAACTCAACCAAATTCAGTCGTAGCAGCTCAGCAGTTTATTGTCAATGATGGTGCTGATGTTCGATCACCGAACAAAAACCATCAATATATGATACCATATGTTCTAGGTCTAGTGCAACGAAATCGTGACGCTGGAAGAATCAACGAGGCCGAGAGCTGTACTCGACTATTATCTGTCTTGCAACAACGTGCCTCTGAGTTATTGAGTGAATCATTGACAAGTGGTGATTTAAATGGTATGAGATTATTGGTACAGTTGGGGACGGATTGTTATCAAGCTGATAAATATGGACAATTGGGATTACTAGGAGAGCTGTTGAAACAAGATAAACACCCGGTAAGATTAGACATTATTCAATTTCTGGTTCAAAATAGTCAGCAAGCCATTACAAGTATCGATAATCAACAACAAACATGTCTGTCATTGGCAAAATGTAATCAACAATGTTCCAGTGACGTCGTTGAGTATTTACAGGGACAGTTTGATTTGATATTAAACAAGATACCGTTCAACACTCAACGTATCAATATCAATGAAGTAGGAGAATGGATTCGACGAGGCGCAAATACCGAATATGTTGATGACAAGGGAAACACAGTATTGTGCAATGCTGTTATCACGAATAATTTGGAATTGATTAAAGTACTGGTTGCTAGTGGATCGAATACCGAGTATAAAAATAACGAGAATTTCACAGCATTACAACTGGCTCGTAATGCCACACCAAGAAATGCCCAATTGGTCGCCTTTCTAGAAAAACAAGGCGTCAACAGTGAATTGAAACAATTAATTCAACAGAAAAAATCACAGTTGACAGCGGATGAAGTTCATAAGTTATTAGAACAAGGTGCAAAGATTGACGCACTCATTGCTAATAATGATACATTTTTACATCTGTTAATTGTTAACAACGGCACGCCAGAATTAGTTAATGCATTTGTCAATGATTTTGGTGCAGATATCGATGCCATGAATGTAAATGGATATCGTCCAATTGAAATGTGCATATTGTACGACGATGCTCAATTTCTAACCTTATCTGCATTTTTGAAACTGAAAAAAGTTACATCTGATATGTTTTTTAATCGTAAACTGAATATAAGTTCGTTACAGTTTGCCAATGATCAAAAACGATTAGTTGCTGCACAAATTATTCAGGATGAATTAAACTTACGTCTATGGCAGTGTATCGCACAGGCAACAGCAGATGAAAAACGTAATTCAAAAATAATAATGGAAGCAAAGCAACTGATCAGTTACGGTGCACAAATAGATCACAAACATATCGATGAAGACTACGACCAATGGACAGTATTACACTTAGCGTGTAAATCAAGTAATGCGGATCTCGTCAGGTATCTGATCGAAAATTTAAAACCAGATTATGTGAAATCAACATTAGGTGGTGATGTTCCAGTGACCATTGCGTCAGAATTTGGACAGTTGCCCATCGTTCAGTACCTTCGTGGTCTGCGTGGTACACAGTTGAATATTGCAAATAAAGATAAACAAACACCGTTACATTTGGCAACAAAAAATAATCATTTGTTAGTCGTACGTTATCTGGTTCTATGGGGTGCTGATCATGAAGCTCAAAACTCATCTCAAAAAACACCACTGGAGATAGCTGAAACAAACGTCACAAAATCGAAAGATGAAGTCAGTAATAAGAAAATAATCCATTTTTTAAAGCAACTAATTTGTCCTAAAACGGATGGTGAGAAGAAACGACCTCGTTCAGCTAGACCAAATAATAGCCTAGATCTATGTGATATACCCACGCAAATGCTTGTTGATAAACAGAGTCCGACTGATCAAAGTGATGAAGATCCATTAGGTGAAACAAAAAAAGGCTTCTTGTCAGGCACGCCTAACAGCAACCTGCGTGATGCATGTGAAAAAGGAGATGTCCATCTCGCCAAAGAAGCAATCGCTGAAGGTGCTGATATTCGTCATCGACAAAAAAATCGCTCATTCCTTGATGTTGTCACTTCATCGTTGAATGAATATAATGGTAAAGTGAATTTACCATCAATTAGACAAGACGAACGTCAACGATTTTATTCAATGGCTGTCGGTTGCCATCAAATTCTTCAAGATTTACAACATATAGCAACAACAAAATTAATTGAAGCTATAAAACAGTCGAATACAGGTCGTGTAATTGCTTATCATCAAGTTGGCGGACAATTGACACCTGGTTTATTAGATTTGGCATGTAGATCATCGGACAATTTTAACATCATTGATTATCTGATAAATCAGAGTAAAGAAAATTATGCAGCAATGTTCAATTATTCCACAGTAGATTCCCCCTATATGATTGCAATGAAAACTAAACATATCAACGTCGCAAAATACTTAAAGTATCGTCTATCGATAGAGTGCACGAATGCTATCAATGCGAACAATCTGCCGTTTGTAAAACAGTTGATACGTGCTGGTGCAAGCGTCGATACTCAAGATACGAATAATTTACTAGTAGCTGTTAAATATAACAATGTGGAATTGGTGCAGTTGTTAGCTGAAAACGGTGCTAGATTACCGACAGAATGGTTGGGCACAAATGATATGCAATTACCGCCAGCTCAGACGAAAGATCTCAATCCAGATATTGTGTTTTATTTAAATCGCTGTTTACTTGATCGTCGATTACGCCTTTATGCTGCAAATGGAGATTTGAATGGTGTCATACAATGTCAACGAATAGGTGCAGATATCAATTCCAAAAATTGTCATGGCGCAACGGCGTTATTCTACACAATTCAGTTTGGTAGTTATTTCTCTGTCGTGCATGCTCTGGTTTCGTGCGGAGCATCTATGTTACACTCAAATATTGATGATCCAAAATCATTATTACAATTGTCTGAAAGACCTAACTATGAACAAATTCATAGTTATCTTGCACAAGAGCTAAATGTCCAATTTTTGGCAGGCATACTAGATAATGACATAGAACGTGCAGAATCATTATCGAAACTAGGCGCTGATTTTAATTTCCAGGATGAACAAAAACGTACACTATTGCATTATGCCGTTCAGTATCATGGTATTGATTTAGTCAAATGGTTGGGGGAGCGAGGCAGCACGATGACAACGCCGGATATTAATGGAAATTATGCAATTACGGACGCAGCATACAAGGGTAAATGATACTCTCTATCCAACTAAATACGATATTTTACTGCTCTGTTTTATATGCTTTAGGTGATTTCGCAGTGGTTGAGTACATAATTACATCAAATCCTGCCACTAAAAAATTAAAAAATAACTCTGGACAAGATGCTCATCAGATAGCAAAACAACAAAATTTCAAACGTATTGTTCAATTATTAGAAGGAAAACCCATTGATGATACTGTCGAAGAAAATGAGAAAATTCTACCTCCAAAATATGATTTAAAAACATTAATAAAAGCAGCAAAAGATGGTCAAGTTAAAATTATTCGAGAATTTGTCGATCAACGATATCCATCATTGGAAGATAAAAAGTCACAATGTGAACAAATAATCAGTGCTGCTAAACAACACAAACAAAGTGAAGTATTGGCACTATTAGAACGACATTATAAAACATTATCAGCTGATTTTACATCTGATGTACCACGTTCTGGCCTTGTTAGTTTAAGCGATGAATATCAAATAATGTTGAAAGGATTTTTAACAGGTCTAAGTGGTATAATTGCTAGTAGTAAAGTAGTGTTAGATCCATCAGATCCAAATACTTACAAAGAATTATTTTCAAATTTAAATTCACATGCTCGACAACGTGAGCTACAAATATCAAAAATTCAAACTGAACAAGATATAAGTGAACTAAGTAAACAAGATATGAATGATATTGAACAAAAAATTCAACAAATGAATGGCGAAATTGAAAAAATTAAAAAACAAGAAGAATTATTAAATAAACGTGTACATGCAACTGACATAAGCTTAAAGGAAGCTAATGCTACAGCTATAGAAAAAAAACAACTGTATGATGATAAGGAGGCAACAAAAGAACAGTTAGCAGCACTAGAATGTACAATGTTATTAGTTAAAAATGCCAAAACTACAGCAATTAAAAAGAAAAATCTTATTGAATTTATGCGTAATGAAGCTACTAACTTATATTTATTTTATTCAACAATTGAACATCGTTTAACATCCTTATTTTTTAGTGTTTTAACGGCTCAAAGTGGTCTAGTAAAAACAGAAATGGGTACAAAATTAAGTATGGCTCAAATGGCCGTAGACAATTTTCCAACATCCGTTTTGTCAGTAGCTGAACCCGTGATGAAAGCAATAACAGGAGCAGTGTCAAAAATACTTGAGAAAATCGATCAAAAAGAGCATAATAGAGAATGGCATAATATCTCAACATTGGGCAACATTGATGAATTAAAAAAAGCAGCAACAAATTCAGCTGGTTTATTAACATTATATTATAAACAACAAATTGAATCGATTGATACAAAAGCAGACATTAAAGGAAGTAATTTTTTGAATACAAATATTCAAAAAGTTAAAGACAATTTTGTAGATGTAAGACCAGAACAGACATATGAAAAAGCTAAATCGGCGAAAGGAAACAGTAATGCAATATCTGAAAAAGAAAATGAATTGACTATTGTTATTGTTGCAGAATATATTATTGAATGGATGAAAGATTCATTAGCATCTAGTATGAAAAATGATAAACATATTGATAAAACAAAACCGTTAGCTGATCAACTATGGTTATGTGTGGCCAAAAAAGATCCAATTGAACAAGGAAGATTGACAGCAGCTACAGATACCCTCGGCTTATCAACTGGTAAACAATTGATTCCATTAAAATCAAAAGATGCTGAAGGACAACCTACATATGTACAAGTACGATATTTATTTGGTTGTGTATCTGTTATCAGCGGTGATGGTGTTGTCTATAGATATCGTGTTCCAAAAGGTTTTACAGAGGATCTAGAATTAAAAAGTTTAGAAGTATTTGGCTATGTCTATTTGGAGCCATTTGTGAGAGGCGATAAAAGAATTCTCGACATAATAAAAGCAGGACGAAGTCTGGAAAAAGCCGATGATCGAAAAGATACAGAATCTTTTGCCAAAGTTGTCGACGGAATTGTAGTATTTCATGATGAAGATGATGGTATTGGTGGTGATTCAACAATTACAAGAGAAACAGCACGTCAAGTAGCAAAAATCATGAGAGAAGACAAAATATTTGTTGATCCACAAGAAATGAAGAAACAGTTAGATAAAGCTCAAGAAAAAAATGAACTTACAATTAATGTCTTACGAGATGATATGAAAGAGAAATCTGAAAAGTATGAAAATTTGATGAAGGCAGCGTACGAAAAAATTGGCAAAGATTTTGTTGAAGTAAAACAAGCACTAATTAAAGATAACGAAGAACAATATAGTAAAGAATCAAAAAAATTAACACAACAAATAAAAGAATTACAAATACAATTAGAAAAAACTATTACAGAACGAATGAATCAGATTGAGAAAGATATGAAACAGAAGTCAGATGAAATGATGATAATTGTCACTTCCGCTAAAACAGAATCGTCGAGCGCGATTCATTTAGCAACGAATGCGGTTGAATCAAGTGCAATAGCTTCGCAAGAAGCGATAGAAGCTAGTAAAAATGCAAGAGAATTAGTTGATTCAACCGAACAACGTAAACAAGAAATGAAAGTGGCTACTGATGCATGTCGAGAACTTGTTCAACGAACAATTGCAGAACAAAAAGAAAACTACCAAAAAAGTTTAGCAGAATTACACACAAAATATCAAGAAAATATGGAACGTCTCAAGCAATTGACAGAAACAGCGGCATCTCAAGCAAAAGATTCTACATCAGCTGCCAAAGAAACTTCGAAATTAACACGAGAACAATTAGAAGTACAAAAAGACGAAAGTAAAAAAACAATTGCTTCTGTGAAAGAAGCAGCACAACAGTGGGAAAAATCAGCAAAAGACGCAGCAAAATCGAGTGATTTAGCTGCAAATCAAGCGAAAGATGCAGCCAAAGAGGCTAAGCGTGCAGCGGATAGCAGCAAAGAAGCTGTTGAAAAAGCTGATAAAATCGCTAAAAAGATGTAAACTCAGTAACTTTTATGATACTCCTATTTCGTCCATGCATTCGGAAAACATCAATTTTTTCGAGGTGACGGTTATGCTTAGAATGTTGAGCTCTACTAGCTTCCAAAGTTTCATATGGTCGGCATAAAGTCGATGTAAAGTCTGGTTTTCATGTATGAGTCATAAAAGTATATTATAAAGCAACAAAAAATTTTAGAAATTTTGTACATGTATTCAATAGTTCTCGCATTGGAAAGAGGTAGAGCACTGCGGTTTTCACCATCGCATAGCCACGACTTTAAGTCAACTTTTTGTCAGCAAAGACATTTCTCGAAAAAATTTCAAAGGCCAATCTTTTGGATATTTAGAAAACCAACTCGGTTTTTCTGAAACTAAACTAGCTATTTATCGATACTTTTCCCAAGGTGGATAGTCCAAAGTGTCTTCTACAACGCGGGATCTAAGCGACCTCTTACTTTTACTCAACAATGAGCATTAGATAGCTTGTCCAAGACTATCACATGACCACCGTTGCCCGGATTTGAAGCAAAGGTTAAGGAAAAACGGGGTTTTTCTGGAAACCCTTGTGAAAATCTAGTAAATCTTTTGAGAGTTTTTAAAATTCTGATGTACCATGGCATGTTTGACATGTCAATCAAGTTGAGTGTTTTTTTGAAAGTTTCAAGTCATTTGAAATTATTTTGAACGAGAATACTTTTAATCTCTCCATCAGACATTCCATCTTTAGACCCACACAGAATTGCTCTTGTAATATAATATTTAGCCAAGAGAGCAGATTTCTAAGGTAACTGGCAGTGAAAGACATAGTGCCTGTTTACGTATAAATCATGTCCGTTCTTTTATAAAAAACCGTACATTATTAAAAATAGCAAAATTATGCCTTCCTCCAGGAATATTTACAAAATAAACAACGAGAACAAACTGTCGAGTGTCCACTGGTATTATGCCACGTTTCTGTTGAAATATCATGGTTTCAGTTTTATTCTGGCGATCATCTAAACCTTTAAGAAAATAAACGTATCAAAGATGACTGTCTTGCTTAATTATCTAACGGGTGGCGCAGAAATAAACGCACTCCGGTATTTTGCGTGTAACTTCGTGAGGATTCATCCTATCGACTCAACTTTTTTTTAAAAAGATTCCCCGTTCGATCGTCTACAAAAATCTGTGTCTTTATTAATGTAAATAATCTCCGTTGTTTTTTGATAAACGATACAATCTCTTTGTCCAACTTTCACAACTTTCCAGCACAACTTCTTGTCTAATTCGATTTACAGCTCGTTTAAGTTCTTCAATTAAAGTTTTTTTGATTTTGCTTTCTCCCAATTGACTTGATGAACGAATTCGTCCCAAATACTATAGTCTAAGGGATTCAAATCAGGAGAATTAGGAGCCAATGATCTTTGTCGATAAAAGCTGGAAAATGAT